AAAGTACAGGTCTTTCCAGCGGATGCATTAAGTGAGATAAAAACCTTAGGGCTGAAGTAGGGGGAGAAAGTTGGGACCATTAAGAATGTAACTTTCAGATAATCAATGCCTGAAAGTTTTAAACGTTTCTTTAGAGACAAGAACTACTTCAACCCCGTGACCTAGGTTATCAATCATTTCCTTCGAGCAAAACAAATTCCCAAGCATGTCCTAAGTGCATAGCTATTTGCATATACAACACCAGCAGGCATGCGGACTCGGAGATTCACCTTGACATGGAGCATCTCTCTTAACTTATCACCAGCCTCTGTCTTCTCCCCAGACTGCCAAGGCATGCAAGGGTGGGCACCCCAAGCCAGCCCACCCATATGCTACCCCCACATCTCACCTGCCCATTATCACCTTATTTTCTTTTTAAACCACGTTTCCTTGTTGGGACCACCACCTTGTTGGTGTAATGGCTACATCACTGGACTCCCATATAGCCAACCACGGTTCAAGACCCGGACCCAGTGGCTTGAACTCACATTGGGCAAGTGTACATGCATGCCAAAGAATCTGAGAGAATGGAGGAGAAGGGAATGAGGCATGGCTGTTTCCCCCGGGGGGGGGATTTCTCACTTTCTGTCTCTCTGTCTCTCTCTGTCTTACTGGCGAGGGCATATGCCCTATAGCAAAAACCTCTCAAAAATAAAAAAAAATGTTTCCTTGTTAAGCTTTGCCTTTCTACCACCTCTCTGTCACATGCCCTTAATTTCATTCTTTCAATATTATCTCAATGAACTCTAAGTTATTACTCATATCCTTTTGCTTTATTAAATTGTACTCAGTTACTTCATTAGCTCAGACAGTGGGCCACTGGTTGATAGCTGGCCTTTTTCATTACAGTGGTGATTGTCCTGTTTGATCTGTAGCCTCAATCTAGGAAAACATGACCATTTATTTACACCTTGTTCCCACTGCAGGAAAAACTCAAGCATACTTACACAAAGATGCACAGTAAAATAACACAAATTATGGAGATAAACAAATAAACAAACAAACAAACAAAAAACAGGACAAAGGAGAAATTAAAGTAGGGAGGTTAAGATGAAGCTAAGAGAGAGGTCAGAATGTCAAGTGTGTGTTGTCAGGCCCACACACGAATCACTTATATCAGTGGTGGAAAAATTATAGCCCACTGGCTGAATCTGGCCCACCATCTGTTTCTATTAATAAAGTTTTATTGGAAGACAGCCATGCCTATTCATTTCCATGGTATTTATGGCTCCCTTTGCACTACAATGGCAACGTGGCTGCTACAGAGACCATATGGCTTGCAAAGCCTAAAATATTTACTACTGACCATTTACACAAAACGATTGCAAAAGCTTGGATTATGTGATTCTGTACCTAAGAGATAAAAGCAAAGCATTTTCCTAGAATAAGTACACTCGTTGTATGGTGGAAGAGAACATTCTACTATAAAGACCTCGCTGTATATAATCTAATGTAAAAAGTCCTTAGAATAATTTTTTTAAGAGGGATTTTTGCCATAGGGCACATGCACTCAAGAGAAAGACAGAGAGACAGAAAGCAAGAAATGACCTCCCAGAGGGCATAGCCATAGCACAATCCCTTCTCCTTCAGTCTCCTCTTGGGATTTTGGGTACATATGCAAATACACCCGGTATGAGTTTCAAGTCTCCGGGTCCAGGACTCAAACTGCGGTTAGTCATGTGGGTGTCCAGCGACATAACCATTATGCCATCTACTGATCCCCTTAACATATTTTTTTATTTTTTGCTGAGATTTATATTTTTATTTATTTTTTAAATGTTTTTTATATACATTCAATGACATTGTTTAGCTTACAAAGTGAACATTTCAATATGTGAACGTTTCTCCCCAGTCCAGTTGATCAAAATATCTTCAACCAATAACACCACACCTCCCCATCCTGTCAATGCTCTGCCTCTGTATCCCTCCTCCAAATGTCCTTTCTTAGGTCCCACTCCTCCATAATTTTTAACAGTAAATAGAGCAAGAGGTTGCCCAGGGCCAATAGTATAATGTCACAACACAAGTCAATGAGACAGTCCTATTAAGTCCTCAGGAAAGTCTTCGTGTACTTTTCTTTGTTTTTCTATGCAAAAATGCATTGTGGCCTTCCCAACCACCCAATGCAATCCATGAGGCTGAAATTGCAGTTCAGGTGCAATTTACTCCTGACCTGACTTAATTCAAGGATAGTTTCTGGAGGCGGCAAATGACAGCCCCATGTGCAGCTCTTCTCGACCCTCCTTCCTTACCACCAGGAGACGTGGTTAATGGGTCAAGGTGTTCCCTTCTATGGAAGCCCCAGGTATCCTCAGAAGTCCTCTCCAGTTCTCTGGCAGCCTCAACCAATCATTAGGAGTTGGCATGCAAGATAAAACCAATAGGCCATCTTTGCCCTAAGGCAATGTTCCATGAACGCTCACTCTCCCAGCTGGGATGGGGTGAGACTGAGGTTAGACTGCTGAGTTCCTGAAGCACAGCTATTCTATTTGCCAAAAGGCAGAGCCTAGGCCCCTCAATGGCTGTGCATGTTGGACTGGATTACCCTTCTCTTGAGAGAACAGGAGCCTGGCCCGCATGGCTGCCAGGCGAGAAGACCCCGTCAGGCCTGCACGTAGGTGAGTGAGAGTGACTGATAGCAGCATCAGGAGTCTCCTCAAGAAAAGAGCTGAGAACCTGCCCCTCTGCCCAGACTGACGGGGTCAGGGCCACAGGGAACGGCAGGGACATTCTGTCTGGAAATGCGTAAGCCCAAAAACATGTTTAAGGAAACAGAATCCTCAGACGTCATCACCTAACCCTGTCATATATAGGAGCAGACGTCAACAAGATGAAAAGCAGTTAAAGCATGAGATTATTTTGGTGCAAAAAATGTTGAAGTCCACGCATACTTTTTTTTATAACGTGCATTCTCCATGAACTTTGTTCCTAGTCATGATAGAGCACATATGCACGCAGGGCAGAGGGTGCATCCCCCTAGGGCTCTCTCCTGCTGTGATGCCCTTCTTCCAACCTTCCAGCTTGCAGAGACCCTGGGTATGTGCACACACACATCCAGTGTGTTTTCGTGTCGACGGGGCCAGGGACTGAAACTGCTAGGCACGTGGCTTCTGGCTCCTCTGCTTGGTGTGTGGCTGACTGTTCCACAGAGGTTGGACCTCCGTGAACCTTTTGAGGACCCCACGTATGTTCCTGAAGACCCCACGTATGTTCCCAAAGAACTCTCCAAGCAACAGAAGTTCCAAAATGAAAGCAAATAAACTGGAACATATTACTCGTAAGGAACTTCAACTCATGGGCAGGGCCCATGGCATAGTGGTTAAGGTGGGTGGATTCCACGATCTAGAACCACGCAGTGTGAGTCTTGGACCCAGTGGTCTGAGAAACATGGCAGGTGTGCATGTGCAGGTGTGTATGTGAGGGTGTGCACCTAAAATCCCCAAACGAGGAAGAAATGGAGAGGAGATTTTGGCATGGCCATTCCCCAAGGGAGGGAGCTTTCTCTCCTCCTCCTTTCTGTCTTTCTCTGAGAGCGCGCACACACTCCCTGTCAAATTAAAGAAAAGAAAAAAGAAAAAGAAACTACAATACAACTCCATGAAATGATGCTTGAGGATGACAAAACTGTCCATTGTTAATTTAGAAGTTAATATCTATAGCCTTTTCCTACGCCCACTCCATGTTTGTGACTATAAAACTATGTCACGAACTGATGATATTTCCAAAGACCAAAAATGTAGGTTACCTAAAAAAAAAAAGTCTTTACTATGCAAGTTTATGAGAATTAGAACTATTGTTATTGTACCACACTGGAAATTGCTACTTAATTTATATCTGACTCCTACGCATGTTAGCCAAGGGAGAAAGAAGGAGAAAACAAATCATAAATGATCTTCTAGTATTCTCAATTCCCAGCTGATCTTTTCGCGGGTGATGAAAAAGAGCACCAAACTAGTGAACCGTAACATAGCCACACCTAAAACTCTCCTCTCTTTTTTATTTTGGAGAGGTTTTCACTATAGGGCGTGTATGCTCGCCAGATAGACAGAGAGAGACAGAGAGACAGAAAGCGAGAAATTACCCTCCCAGGGGGGATGGCCATGCCACGATCCCTTCTCCTCCATTCTCCTCTCAGGATCTTGGGCACGCATGCACACGCGCCCAGCGTGAGTTTCAAGCCACCGGGTCCAGGATGTGAACCGCGGTCGACTATGTGGGAGTCCAGTGACATAACCATTATGCTAACTGCTGGTCCCATCAAAACTCTCCTCTCTTTATGGGTTTGGAGTTGTCTCCTAGAAAGCACCAACTACAAGCAAGGGAGGCATAATCATATTGGACAACAAGGTTAATGCAGCCAACTGCATTGGAAGACATTTTTTCTTCCTCCTAAAAAGACCAAAGACCATCCAATCTTGCCATTTATTCTTCCAGTACCAATGCTTAAGAGTTCAATTCCAGACAACCTGAGATCACATCTGGGCACATGAGAACATGGAAAAAGCTGGACTCTGTATGGCCTTAGATCCAGGAAAGAAGGAAAACTTCTAAAGAGTCAAAGAAAACGCCAAGTTCAAGTAATCTGTACTTGGTATGCTCTTCTAGAACTAAGAAAGGGATACACAATTATGCCCTGGATTTGGCAGTACACAGAATATCAAGGCAGAAAACTCTGGAGGAAAATTGAAACTGCTCCCTACTAGCTGGGGGCTGATTCTCAACTTCTCCAAGCAATTCTGCCACCTTCCATGTCTCAGACGTGCACTGAGCCCAAACTGGAGACCAGGATGGAGTGAGCGCTGGATGCATCACCCGTAAAAGCTCTTTTACAACAGTGGAGGCCTGAAAGGTTACGCTTGCCAAAGACTGCCATACCAAACAACCAGCACGCATAGTGCCTTCTCCAGAACCTCTTAGGCGACAATAGTTTAGCTAATTTTTTTTCAAGTCATGTTACTTACGTAATGCATACAAGGTGAGAATTATTCCAGCCAGGCAAAATCCTTCGAAGAACCTGAGCGTGCTGAACATTGTCACGTTCACAGACAGCGCCACCGTCAGTCCAAAGATCAGAATGAAGATGATGGAAAACAACAGCACTGGCCGCCGGCCCACCCTGCAGGGGAAGAGGGAAGCAGTGAAGTATTATTAGACAAGATGGAGGTGTTGGATGGCGATGCCCAGGACCCAGCACACTCGATATACATGGAATGCATACTCAACTAAGTCTTCATCCTATCTAGACCCACTTCACCTAGACCATGGAATGTGAGGGGTAGAAAGACCCTCTGGGTAGATGCAGCCCAACCCCCTCACTTGCAGAGAGCAAACCGCTCCCGGGTTAGAAAATTGAGATATGAACCAACCCTGCTGCAGAGTCTATTTCTGAGTATATACAGGGATGATCCAAGGCACAAAATCAGTAATAACTCCCCAAACATAAACCTTGACACACCCAGCATAAAACGTCTTGAGAATGTGCTGCCCTTTGGAACTAGCTCGAAAGTCAACATGGGCGCCGAGCTTAACAGCTTTATTTCCTGTCTCCCTGAGTGGAGTGCCTGACCTCTCATGTGGCCCATCAGAGAGCGAAGGCCACGCCGTCTGTTGGTTTGTTTCGGTGACATGACAAGAAGCACTTTTTAAGGGATCACAGGCTAAGCTAAGATGACTTGAACTTAATTTTTTTTCTATTATTTATTTAACTTTTATTTATCATTATTATTTAATTTGCAATAGGGCGTAGGTGCTCACCAGAGAGAAGTGGGAGGTGGGGGGTGGGGGACGAGAAAGCAAGCCACCAGGTCTGGGACTCGAATCGCAGGCGTCCATGTGGGAGTCCAGTACCTCAACCACCACTCTATTTGTTGGCCCTATGGCTTGAACTTTAAATAACTTCCATGGGCCTGAGAGTGAGGGAACTGGGAAACCCACTGGCAATGAGGAGTGGAAGGGAACCCCGGCCTCTGTGTTTCAGGATAGGGCCTCAGGCATGCTAAATTGATGAATCATAGAGCTGGCTGGTGCTAGATCAGTGGCCATTAGGGGGCGATGGCTACCAGGTGGGTAGCCACGTCTAGGGATGGCTGGGAGGACAGCAGGGCATGGCCACCAGAAATGGTCAGGTCACCAGTTCACCCTGCTCCCATGTTAACTTTCCACCTTTCCTTTCATTAACTCATCAGAAATAAAACTCCAATATAGTTCTATCAAATAAATTAATATAACACAACTGGCTTAGACTACAAGGATAGCTCACAGAGAAATTGGGACATGGTGGATGCTATTTACCAGGAGAATAAAAAGGGGTGGATCGAGACCTAGTACTCCTAATATCACTCAGGGTAGCTATATGGCTTGAACTGTCCTAGACGGATTTAGGACAGGGCATCTACATGCTTTGAAATGCTCAAAAAAGGCAAATATAGGAAAACAAGAACTAGATTCATGGTTGCCCAGAGCTGGGAGCAAAAATGGGGAGTAGTGTAAATGGGTCCATTCCCATCATCCTTTGAGGGTAACGGAAACGCTTACAATGGAGCGTGGTGATGGCTGGAACATTCTGTAAACACGCTAGGACTCATTGAATGGTGCGTTCATAATGGATGAGTTCTATGGTATGGAACTGATCTCTCAATAAAACTGTTAAAAAAAAAAAGTAATAACCAGTAAGGCTGGTCTTGGCCTATGAAGGAGATGGAGGTCAATTTAAGAAAATGCAAGGAAAGGATCAACAGGACAGAGTTTCATCCAGAACCCTGTAAGGTTCCAACCATCGCCATTAGCATCTCAGGCTTCGTGACACACGGTCAAGTCCATGAGTCTTATATTGATACCAATCAGATTAACCATCTCATCCAGAGATATTAGCCATGACAGCCCTTGGTCAATGCTGAGGCATGAAGCCCTTCCCTGGTAAGACTGTCTGGATGATTTTCTCCAAACTCAACTCATCTACAGAAAGAAATGTAAAATATGGCTTAGTGGTTTTCTAAAACGAAGGAAAGCAAACGAAAGCGAATGAATCCATTTTTCTTTTCCCTTGCTTCCCATGTCTGTAAGGTGGGGGATAACCCTCCTACTGTGCAGAGTTGTTGAGATCGTTCATTAAGGGAGATGGTGGATGTAAACCCAGAGCCTGGACAAAGTGAACCATGTGATGTTTAAGCTTATTCCTCCCTGCATTTCTACAGCCCTGATGTTCACCACATGGTTTGCCCTGTCTTGATACTTTAGAACTATGTGATCTTGGGGAAGGCCCAGGTTGTTTGAATGAGCCTCATCAAGTAACACCTACCTAACAGGGTTGCTGTGGATACTTGCAAGTGACTTAGCAAGTGTTGGATACAGGTTAGCTACAAGAGTGGGTGTTTTAGCTAGCTAAACTGGCTCCCCTGAGCAGGATCTCCTCCTAGATGACTGGTACAATCACACCCCCCATCTGCGACACAGAGGTCTTTACCTGAGACTCTGTGGTAGATAGAATAATGGCCCTCAAAGATGCCCACATCCTAATCCTCACAACCTGAGATATTTTACCTTTTATGGCAGAAGAGATTCCACAGATGTGATTAAGGTTAGGGACCTCGGGATGAGGTGACTTTCCAGCTAGGCGCAATCTATTTTAATTAAGAGGAGGACCTGGCTGGAGGACCAGAGAGACAGCAGGGTGAGCAGATCTGGTTCACTATGGCTGGCTATGAAGAGGAAGGAAGGGGCCGTGAGCCATAGAATGCAAGTGGACTCTACAAGCAAAAAAAAAAAAAAAAAGGCAAGAAAACAGATTCTGTGCTAGAGCCTCTGAATGGAATGCAGCCCTGCTGACACCCCGAGTTTTGCCGGTGAGGCCCCTGATGGATTTGTAAAGTACAGAACTGTTGTTGAAGTCACCAGGCTATAGGCATTTGTCATGGCAGCCATAGAGAACTGATACAGGGTCTTGGCAAGAAACAGGGATCCTACTCTAAGGAAGTAAAGGGAAATTTTTTTTAGAAGAGACACAGAGAAAGAAACAGGTAGACAGAGAAAGAGAAAAGATCCACCCCCAGGCTCAGCCAGCCCCGGATCATGGGCGTGTGTATGCCTGACATGTACAGGCAGGTCTCAGGTTGTGAACCTGGAACCCTCCTATGTGGGTGGCCTCACAGAACATGGTATTTCATCACTGTGCTGCCATCCAGCACCCCCAATGGGAGTTGTTTTGTTTTGTTTTTGCCATAGGGCACATGTACTTGCTGGAGATGAAGACAGGGAAAGTGAGAAATCACTCCCAAAAGGGATAGCCATGCTGTGATCCCTTCTCTTACATTTTCCTCCCAAGATCTTGGGCACACATGCACATATGCCTGGTGTGATTTTCAAGTTACCAGGTGCGGGATCTGAACTGTGGTCCATCATGTGGGTGTGTGTCCAGCACCCTAACCACTACATCACCTGCTGGTCCCTCAATGGGAGATTTTAATAAAAGGATTATTTATAAAAGACTGGGCCAGGTGGCTGGACAGTAGTTCAGCTGTAGCATAACCTCTTCAAGGCCGATCCTCAGGGGTCAGAAGACCTCCTTGAACACGCATAGCACATGCATGTGAAGGATGGGGTACTGTCTCTCTGACTCTCTTTGTCATTCTTGCTTATGGAAGAAACAAACCAACCAACAAAAGAAAGAACAGACTATGACAGAACCCGCAAGGGACAGTGTCCAAACGTGTAGCTCTTATCTAAGGTGAGGGGACTTGAGGGACAGGATGGTGTGGACTCCAGAGGCAGACACTGCATGCAGGAGCCCTGGACAGGAGGCGGCTGCCCTTCCAGCCCACAGAGATCAGGCACCCCTGTGGAGTGCACCTGGTGCTCCCCATGCTCAGCCAGGAGCGGGAGGGTGAGTGTCCCGTAGTGCAGTCTCCCAGGCACCCTACCTTGTCTCTCTCTCTCTCCCCCGTGGAGTGCACCTGGTGCTCCCCATGCTCAGCCAGGAGCGGGAGGGTGAGTGTCCCGTAGTGCAGTCTCCCAGGGTGGGCTGGAGAAGGCCGAGTGCTGCTGGGGCCCCTTATCAGGGCAAACCAAGGGAGCAAAGGCTGGAGACAGAGAGAGGTCCTGCTGGACCCAGTGACCTGCCACCCACCCATGAGCTGAGCTCAAACATCATTTAACAAGACACCCTTCCTGTCGACAACAGTAATTCTGTAAAGAAAGAAGTGTGCTGCTTAAGGGTGCTTCTCTGCTGACTGCAGCCTTAGAAAGCTTACCCATGACTGGATCAACTTCCCCCATGCCCCATGAACCAGGCCACCAGCTGTGAGGTCCGCAGTTCCCTTTAAGTGAATTTATTTCCTTTGAAGCAAGACTTCAGCAGGGAGGATAATGCCAAAACCAAACCCAAAACGAAACAAAACAACAAAAAGTGGGGTTGGAAAACACCAGATTTTCAAGCTCGAATGAAGTCCCACTCAAGAGGTTCAAGAAGTCACAAGCCAAAGCAGCCTGTCCCTGGCTCCCTAGGCACCCCGCCCCCATACTCATGCAGCGCTGACCCTTGGAAAAGCAGCTACAGAGGAGTAGGTTTGCAACATCAGACTTCTGCTTACTCACAGAGTGAAAGATCCCATGTCATCAGGGAGGCACGCTCGTGTACGTGCAAGAATTAAAAACAAAACAAAAGAGTCACAGCAACAACCTTCACACACTTTATGCCTGTAAAGACTGAGGCACTGGGGCCAGCAGATGGTGTACTGGTTACGTTGCAGGATTCCCACCTGACCGACCATGGTTCAAGTCCTAGACCAGGTAGCTTGAAACTCATGCCGAGTGCATGTGTGTGCATGCCCAAAGTCCTGGGAAAAGAATGGAAGAGGAGCAGGGATTGTGGTATGGACATCCCCTCCATGGGGAGTGCATAATTTCTCACTTTCCCTCTCACTGTCTCTGTCACTTTCTCTGGTGAGCATACGCGCCCTAAGGTTAAGAACTTTAAAAATAAATAATAAAGGCCGAGGCATGAATAAAAGCCATATTTATTTTCCTATTAAATCATTTCTTGAATAAGGGCATTAAAGCCCAGGTTTGCATTTTTTAGAAAGAAGGTGTCATAGATTATATTAGTATGATCTTAATCTATTTCAATGTAGATTTGGGGGAAACAGTATCTTTTAGATCACCTTGCACTAAAAACCTATGAAATCAAGTATTTGGCTTATAAAACCCTACACCCTCCTTCACCAAAAACAGCTTCCAGAAGGAGACCCCTAGCCTATGTCTGAGCGTCTCACGGCTTCTCTGTTACTACCCAGAGGGAACGTGTCCATGAGAAACCTTCACAAACGATGACTAAGCAGATTCTGTGCACACAGGAAATCACATTATATATTAGCCCAAGGAACTTTCAAACAGCCACAGCTCCTGGAAAGAAATTTCCACAACTTTAAAGTGGTCTCTGAACCATCTGCCGCGGTCCTGCAGGCTCCTGCCTCGTCAGCGTTAGCAACTAACCAGGTGACAGTGTGCATGCCAGAGACTTGCAGGGGATGCTCTGTCTCTCTTTCAGCCCTCGCTATTTCATCAGGCCCAAGATGTCCTGATGCACACCAGAACATTCCTTTAAAGATAAAGACGTAGACGTAGAGGGGGTGAACAAGCACACCACGCCTCTCTCCCCTCACTGTCCCACGGCTCGAAACTCCCATCAGCATTGTGCAATTGCCCTCCTGCTTGGACAGATCACCGTCGCTTCCTGTGACCACAGGGAGCCTTAAATAAAAATGTCGCCCCAGAGTGCTAGGGGAGAGGCAGGCTCTGGAGCCAAGTCCTAGTTTCAAGTCCTGACTTTCCAGCTGAAAGCTGAGGAAACGTGCGGATTTTACTTCAACTTCTGTGCTTTAGTTTTTCAACTATGAAACAGAGGCACTAAGAGCAGCTACCTAATGGGGTGCTGTGAGCAGGTATGGGGGTATTTATTTAGCACAGTGCCTAGCACACAGGAATCAATCACTGATAGCTGCTGGGACCAGCAGTTAGCGTAATGGCTATATCACTGGACTCCCATGTAGTCAACCGCAGTTTGAGTCCCAGACTTGGTGGCTTAAACTCACGCCGGGCGCATGTGCGTGCGTGCCCAAGATCCTGAGAGGAGAATGGAGGAGAAGGGATTGTGGAGTGGCCATCCCCCCTGGGGGGTGATTTCTCGCTTTCTGTCTCTCTGTCTCTCTCTGTCTTTCTGGCAAGTGCACGTGCCCTATAGCAAAAACCTCTCAAAAAAAAAAAAAAAGCAACCTTTCGCACCTTACGT